ACAAAATTCAAGAAAAGACCGTGATTGACGATTGATAATGATGGTTTTATATCCTTATCCCAGTTATACCGTACACACGACCCTGGGAACTTGTGGAGGTGTTAAGTGTGTAGGCGGAGGGCAGAGACGGATGTCAGAGGGACGCATTACTCCCCATCATTTCTCCATATACAAAGACTTGGGACCGGCTACGCCGCAAATACAAGCTTGGCTTGTCGGTCACGACAACTAGACAAAGTGTTACCGTACTTAGAAAAAAATCATTTTGGTAGTTAACTACATCGCGTGGCGGGTTCAAAGGTCAGGGGGTCTGAACCCCACACACACACACACACACACTAACACACCGCACACACACTAACACACACACACACACACACATAAATATAATTTACTTTTATTTAAACCAAATATCAAACCTACTTCGTTTGATCGGACACTATGATACATTGCGTCGATAGACCAATATCCGTTTATTTATTTTTTTAAATAAATCATTATTCTTTATATTGCTAAACGTCCAAAGATCACAGACTAAAATCAGATCATTTATTTACTCTGTATACAGAATCACAGGCTAAATCATGTAATTAAATCACTCTGTGTACAAAACGCACACCCTAGATTTAGATAATTGAACTGCTCTATATACAAAAATCACTCTGTGCGTAAAACTCACACGCTAGAGATAGACATTTAGGTTTATCCATGTGCTAGGTTTAGAAAACTAAAACAATTACACGAAAAGCAAACGCTAGATAAACAAATGCATTACCCTACGTATAACAATCATAGGTTAGGTTAAATGGATGATATAGCCTAGACTAAGTTAGATATATTACTTTATGTACACCGCAGGCTATAACAGAATAAGTGTTGTTTACTCTACGTATTATAATCACATGTTAGAATCAGTAACTATCCATAAAATAAAACAAATTTTCTTTTGTCCATAAAAGAAGATATCTATGTGTCACCTAATGATGAACCATTTTTCCGAATAAACAACCTGTAAAAAAGCTACATTCCATTAAGTAAAAGAACTTATTGCAAGAAGCTTAAAGTGACTTACATGGTCGTTTAAATTTAATGCTTTATTTAAAGAACTTTATAGCCCTTATCAATTTGGAATTCACATCAAATGAGATTCGTTTTTAACGATGTTCGTTTAAAAAAATTCAACGGTAATTTCACACACAATGAGCTGCTGAAGTAACGAAGAACGAGAGCCGTGGCGTGACTATCAAGTAGTTGATCTTTATGTTCCTATACGTAGACAGTGTATTGTCATTTATATACCTGTCCTAGACATATATAGACAAAATAATGGGCGTCCTTATCAAGGTAAAAATGATTTAAATGATGACGCTCTATCAATGACCCAAATAGTGACGTTCTAAATAAAGATCCTTGAAATGTTCCGGGCCACCGACTTCAGTGTTAGCATCCTTAGGCCAAACAATATGGGTGTTTTGTTTATTAATTCCAAAAAAGCATTGGTATGTAAACTACAATATATACATCTGAAAAATAAATTTGCAAATTGAAAAGTTTTGCTTACGTCTTCATTTCTTCTGGAGCCGAAAATGAAAGCACAAAAATAATTTGTTTTGACTTTTCATTACCTACAGTCTACCGAAATCAACACTATTTTCAAATTGCTCATATTGTCTCATAAATCCATGGCATACCTATCTTTTACAGATCATTATAGATGATTCCGCCCCTGGTTTAACTACACAGTGATTTCAGAATTAATCCCAGTTTGTTATTTTGGACCACTCATCTGGTGAAATGACACTGGGAATAACAATGCTTTCATCTGTATTTACTAAATCATTTAACATTAATTATTACACCTCTACTTTATTTACTCTATATAAAAGTAATTGGTTAAATCGAATATATCCCCACTTTTGCATGAGTGTGTTTTAGTCCTGTGTGTTAGTCTGGGAACTAAAACACACCTACAATCGGGTGTTTCCGCCGAGCCAATCAGGCGAGAGGTGGCATGGGCGAAGCTTGTTACCGAACTCGGCAGTGACGGGCGAGTTGGGCGGAGCTTGCTACCGAACTCGGAAGCATTTGGCTTCATTGCCATCAAAAGGGTAGTTGGGACGTGAAGCTTATACAGCTTATGGTTTACAAATATTTTCTAGATAAAACTATCTCTCCAGTGTGTATCGGTATAATAAACCGGTTAAAGTATGGGGTTGAGGCATGTAGCAAGTTTCTGGTGTCCCTTGACCATGCCTATTTCCCTCGGCTTCGCCTCGGGAAATAGACCTGGTTCGCCTCGGGAAATAGACCTGGTCTCGGGACACCTGAAACTTGCTATATCCCTCAACCCCATACTTTAACTGTATACTAAAACATTGAACTAAAATCAAATTTATGTATTTTTATAGATACACGTATATAAATATAAACAGATATTTACACGTTAACTTTTACACATAAAAATTACACATATTATTATATTTATGTTTTATTATTATGAATATGTATGCTAGATTTTTGTTTTTTCGTTTATTGTTTTTGGGAGTATTTTGTGATGGAGGGTTGTCTAGTCTGCGACAGAGGTCTCTGACGTTCAGCATTTTTTCCACCATTCTAATGTATCAGATACTGAATGTGGTCTACATTCCATAGTTCAGTGACAATTTCAGCATCCATATTGATATTTTGCGTTTAGCTGTGTGTTGTGTTGTGTTGTGTCTCGAAAGTTCAAGTCCTAGACCAACTAGACTTGACTTATTAGTAGTGCATCTTAATGTCTGCTTTGAATGATGGACATTACCGGACCATTATTTGTGTAAAATAGCTAAACTGTTCATTTCATTTTTTTTTTAAATCATTCAAATTCTAATGTAATTCGAATTCGAATCTGTCTATTTTCTATTTGAAAATAAGGACCCGTGAGTTAACCTTAAAAGTTTGTCTTATGTTGGAATTTAAAATGTCCAATCGATACTTCGGGTTTAAATTCTAAAAGTTTAAATGGCAGAATTTAAAATTTTAAAAACGCTTGTTTTATATTTTGTGTAGTGTAGGTATAGAACGACTGAAGTTTCGCCATTGTCGGGGAAGGGAGGGGAGGGGAGAGGGAGGGGGANCAGCAGTATAAAGTGTTTGTGTTTAGCTCCGTTTCTCAAACTGATGTAGTTAATGATCAAAGCGGCGGGGACAGGCGAAACATAATACCATGGAATTCCTGTGTATACTTATATCATATTGCCTTGAATGTAGACTTATCACGTGCCTCTCAAAGGATCAGATAATGAGGCAAATGGTTTTTGTCAATTACCACTTTTGTTTATACATGTATATTTATGACTGTTATGTATGGCTTGTCATTAATTAAGTGTACAATTTTCATGCACAAACGGAATGCTATAATTGAGTATATAGTATGTCATTTTGTAAGATACACGTACATTTATACATAATTTATTTACTTCGGACTACGTAGAATATTGTACAATATGTACATGCGATGTTTCAACATTACTAAGACTATTGTTATGTTTTATTTCGTAATTGAATAGATCTGCAGCAAAATAAATACACATAAGCGGGGGATGGGCTTCATCATTTTTAAAGGACGTGACGTTATAAGCTTGCTTTTTTGATAATAACAGTTATGTTTCACTCTAGAAGTGACTTTTTTTAATTTTTATGAATGTGTACAACGAGTGGACATTATTTAACCATATCGTGAAAATAATAGTTATTCATCAATAAGACAAGAGTATCTTCTATGTCAAATCTCATCACATTGATCTTATTTTCTTAATAAGGCACATTTTATGTGTTTGTTTGTCAGTATAATAACTCCTCTACAACTCTTGCCTATCCCATATAGTGCAAACTTTCAATACCACTGCTTATCAAAAATTAACATCTACCTGTGTTGGATTATTTATTTTCTGCTTTGTTATCATAACTGTATCATTTGTACTCAAATATTTATACTGTCTTTTGCCGATAAAACCTCTCTTTGTCCGAAACCACGCTTCATAACTTAACACATTGATTAACACATTTTAAGAAAAAGTAAAAACTCTTTCTCAGTTAGATGTAGTTTGTATATTTAATGAAGTTAACCATTGTCAAAGAGACGTGAGAAATGAGCGCTGAAGGAATTACTCAGTACGTACATCGTTGTTATCAGCCAATTAATATATCTTGCGAACACTACGAAGTTTACTGCCCTTAATATATCTACACTAAAGAATATAGTCTGGTTTCCTTGATCAGGCATAGGATCTAGGATCGTTCACGGATAGAAAATTGTTGGCATCTACACAAGTATGCAATTACCCAAATACCAACGTTCTAAATAAAATTCATTTGACCCTACTAGTGACGTTCTAAATATAGATCCCTGTAACGTTCCGGGTTAATGACGTATTTTTTAACATCTTTACACACAAAAAGAAACATTTGTGTTTCCGCTTTCTTTACTTACTTTTATTTTTATAATAAACTCTGTTTTAAATAAGCACTAATAGGATTATATCATATTTGTGAGAGAGAGAAAAAAATGCTTATTAAGAAATGTTTTTCTCTCCTCGTGTAAATTATTTTCTTTTCTTTTTTTAAAGCCGAAAGCGGAAAAAACAACAATTAATATTTGAACTTGTCCTACACTAAAACGTTACTCTCCTGAAATATTATATTATAGTTTCGAAGGGATCATTCCATTTTGTCAAGCTTTAATTTCTTCTCATCCTCCCGTCCATGTATTTAACAAGTTTGAACCTCTCCCGATATGTTGAGGGTATTATCAGTACATATTCCATCGTTGAGGGATTATTCTAACCGAAGTTGAACCAAAACGTATGATAATACTCTCTCATGAAAGAGTCCAATCTTATACACATTAATTGATTGTCATGCCCCTGTAAGATCGTTCACCTAAAGTGAGTTAGTACCATGTTATCAATTACACTAAAACTATCGTTATTTTTTATTTCTTATTTTTTTTTTTTTTACAGATATGCAGCAATAAAGGCATGTAATACAAACACTACTGGTTGGTTACTACGAAGATGACATAAATAATTACAGATGAACGTACAGGTTGTCTAGCAGTTTGTGTGTACTATCGTTATTAGGTTGTTTTATGTATAGTGTGCAGTCGTCTGCGAATATTCTTGAATCTTCCTGATTGACGCACTCCAGATTGTTTGCCTGTTGGCACAACTGTTTCGGTTCGTTGTGATAAGGAATGTTTGACTCATGTGAGCAATTTTTCTGTGCAGTTGTGTCGGATTTGGTCAAAATGCTTAGCAAAGATGTCTATTTGTTTTGTATTGTTACGAAATTATTATTTCACATGATAGCGGGGAAAGAAACCGATGCTGTAGTCGTTCGGTTTTTTAACGTTCTTTTAATGCTTTGATTCTGGGTTTTTTAGAAACGTATATTTCTATAACAAAAAGTGAAACATTCAATAAAACTAAAAACGTTGAAAATGTTGACAATCCATACCTCTTATTAGATACATAATCTCCACCCCACTAGTTAAAACAGGAACTCTGTTTACGAATTTCAAAGAATAGTTGATGACCTCATATCTACTGGATGGATTAAAACATATGATTACTGAATTCATCATTTGCCCATATTACCAGGCATTTATCATATGTTCCCTATCATAGTATTACGTCAGGGAAGTTCTTGGTGAATGGAAATTTGATAAAACTATACTGATGCAGTGTCTTGTACAAGATCCTTGAGAAACGCATACCTTGTATGTCTTGTCACTTCGTCGTATTTAGGTACTTATACACTACTTCGTGTTATATCAATGATGGTTTCAGAAAGATTATTACTATGAAATTGCTCTCTTTGAAATTGTAAACCCATGGCCAGAAAGAGTTGATAAAGGCGAGACCAATACGTCTCCAAAGCATGCGATTGAATAGATCATTGTATTCTACCACAAACAAACAAAAGTAGCGTAGCTGGCTCAGATATTACTTCAATATCAGTAATTATAGGTGTCTATATCTGGGAAAGTGTGTGAAAAGTGAAAACGAGGACGGCAAAAGGCAGCCAGGCACATTTGAAGCATGTTTACTTCATATCTGTTCCCCGGTACACTTTTGTGTTTCAAGTTTCAAGTTTCATTCAAACTTTAGGCCTTAGGCCCATCAATACATAATATATATACACAATACACAATATATAGAGAATGATGGATTCTCTGTATTAATACATTGGACATTGACATGTGAAAAAAATAAGGTTTCTTAGTCAAATGAAGCCTTTATACTTCGTTTCTGTACCGCGTTACACTTCTGTGGTACACGCTTGCTCTACGATTGTATTGTTTGTTTCTGTACCGCGTTACACGTCTGTGGTACACGCTTGCTCTACAATTGTATCGTTTGTTTCTGTACCGCGTTACACGTCTGTGGTACACGCTTGCTCTACAATTGTATTGGTTGTTTCTGTACCGCGTTACACTTCTGTGGGACACGCTTGCTCTACAATTGTATTGTTTGTTTCTGGACCGCGTTACACTTCTGTGGTACACGCTTGCTCTACAGTGCAGTGACCTTAGTACCCAACCAGAGTGTGGAATGCTCGGCATTCTGAAATTTCATGATAGTAACACGATATGAAACCGACCCTTACGTGTTTGGGTCACACGGTAGCACCCTAATTAACACAGCATCACGAGCGAATAATATAGCTGTTAAGTAAATAGGTTTTTTGTATTGTTACCTTAGGCCCATCAATACATAATATATATACACAATACACAATATATAGAGAATGATGGATTCTCTGTATTAATACATTGGACATTGACATGTGAAAAAAATAAGGTTTCTTAGTCAAATGAAGCCTTTATACTTCGTTTCTGTACCGCGTTACTCTTCTGTGGTACACGCTTGCTCTACAATTGTATTGTTTGTTTCTGGACCGCGTTACACTTCTGTGGTACACGCTTGCTCTACAGTGAAGTGACCTTTGTACCCAACCAGAGTGTGGAATGCTCGGCATTCGGAAATTTCATAATAGTAACACGATATGAAACCGACCCTTACGTGTTTGGGTCACACGGTAGCACCCTAATTAACACAGCATCACGAGCGAATAATATAGCTGTTAAGTAAATAGGTTTTTTGTATTGTTACCTTAGGCCCATCAATACATAATATATATACACAATACACAATATATAGAGAATGATGGATTCTCTGTATTAATACATTGGACATTGACCTGTGAAAAAAATAAGGTTTCTTAGTCAAATGAAGCCTTTATACTTCGTTTCTGTACCGCGTTACTCTTCTGTGGTACACGCTTGCTCTACAATTGTATCGTTTGTTTCTGTACCGCGTTACACGTCTGTGGTACACGCTTGCTCTACAATTGTATTGGTTGTTTCTGTACCGCGTTACACTTCTGTGGGACACGCTTGCTCTACAATTGTATTGTTTGTTTCTTTACCGCGTTACACTTCTGTGGTACACGCTTGCTCTACGATTGTATTGTTTGTTTCTGTACCGCGTTACACGTCTGTGGTACACGCTTGCTCTACAATTGTATCGTTTGTTTCTGTACCGCGTTACACTTCTGTGTTACACGCTTGCTCTACAATTGTATCGTTTGTTTCTGTACCGCGTTACACTTCTGTGTTACACGCTTGCTCTACAATTGTATCGTTTGTTTCTGTACCGCGTTGCACTTCTGTGGTACACGCTTGCTCTACAATTGTATTGTTTGTTTCTTTACCGCGTTACACTTCTGTGGTACACGCTTGCTCTACGATTGTATTGTTTGTTTCTGTACCGCGTTACACTTCTGTGGTACACGCTTGCTCTACAGTGCAGTGACCTTTGTACCCAACCAGAGTGTGGAATGCTCGGCATTCGGAAATTTCATGATAGTAACACGATATGAAACCGACCCTTACGTGTTTGGGTCACACGGTAGCACCCTAATTAACACAGCATCACGAGCGAATAATATAGCTGTTAAGTAAATAGGTTTTTTGTATTGTTATAAACCATATCAGGAGTACAAAATAAGTCTCAAATTTCACCAGACCTCACGTTCCACGGCGTTAGTCCGTAATATTTTTTAACCGGAAATTTTTAGCTCAAGGTCATTTTCAGTCATTTGCTATCAGTGGCCACTCTCGGTCACAAAATAGTGTACCGTGGTACAGAACGAAAATGTGATTGGCCCCTTCGGCCATCGTAGGAAAAAGGCTCATTATTCACGGTACCCATTGGATCCATATTTGAACATCTTTGTATTTAAAAAAAGAAATATTAATCTTCCATTTGAAATACAGTGTGAAACTTACATGTGCCTTCATTTTAAAACTGGTGCACAGATAATAGTAAGTTTCTGACTGACGACACAACATGTATAGTTTGTAGGCTTTATAGCTAATAATCTGAAGCACATGAGAAACGACTTTGTTATGCCTTCTTAAAAAACGCAGCTTGTACATGCTGGTAAAGTTAAGCTTCGGAGACCGATTTAACAACTTGTCGGGAGGGGGGGGATGGTAAGCGATACCTTCCCATTATTGTAAGTAATCCCGTGAAACGTAGCGTGATCAGGGTCCCGTATTAGCTGCAATTGATGGAAGTAAGTGAAACTGGACTGTGTTTATCACCGGGGACTGGGTAGCTCTATCGGTTCATCTAGTACTCGAATGAATCTGGTTCCCTTTCCTCTTACAATGGATCCTGTGACCAACTCTTATTTCCAGTGCTGTGTGTATTCTTGGCAAGGGAAAACCCGACCCTGGGTTATAAAGAGTGGTGTCGTCAGGGAAGGATGGAGGAATATAGCGGTACTAGATATATCGGCTGTGTTAGGTAGTCTGTCTAGAGTTCGGAAGTCCCGGGGGCTGTGTTAGGTAGTCTGTCTAGAATTCTGAGGTCCTGGGGGCTGGGTTAGGTAGTCTGTCTAGAATTCACTGGGAGGGCCCGGGGGGCTGTGTTAGGTAGTCTGTCTAGAGGTCGGAAGTCCCGGGGGCTGTGTTAGGTAGTCTGTCTAGAGGTCGGAAGTCCCGGGGGCTGTGTTAGGTAGTCTGTCTAGAATTCACAGGGAGGTCCCGGGGGGCTGTGTTAGGTAGTCTGTCTAGAGTTTGGAGGTCCCGGGGCTGTGTTAGGTAGTCTGTCTAGAGTTGGAAGGTCCCGGGGGCTGTGTTAGGTAGTCTGTTTAGAGTTCGCCGGGAGGGCCCGGGGGCTGTGTTAGGTAGTCTGTCTAGAGTTTGGAGGTCCCGGGGCTGTGTTAGGTAGTCTGTCTAGAGTTCGGATGTCCCGCGGGCTGTGTTAGGTAGTCTGTCTAGAGTTTGGAGGTCCCGGGGCTGTGTTAGGTAGTCTGTATAGAGTTCGGAGGTCCCGGGGGCTGTGATAGGTAGTCTGTCTAGAGTTCGGCGGTCCCGCGGGCTGTGTTAGGTAGTCTGTCTAGAGTTTGGAGGTCCCGGGGCTGTGTTAGGTAGTCTGTATAGAGTTCGGCGATCCCGAGGGCTGTGTTAGGTAGGGTAGTCTGTCTAGAGTTCGGAGGTCCCGTGGGCTGTGTTAGGTAGTCTGTCTAGAGTTGGAAGGTCCCGGGGGCTGTGTTAGGTAGTCTGCCTAGAGTTCGGAGGTCCCGCGGGCTGTGTTAGGTAGTCTGTCTAGAGTTCGGCGGTCCCGCGGGCTGTGTTAGGTAGTCTGTCTAGAGTTTGGAGGTCCCGGGGCTGTGTTAGGTAGTCTGTCTAGAGTTCGGAGGTCCCGGGGGCTGTGTTAGGTAGTCTGTTTAGAGTTCGCCGGGAGGTCCCGGGGGCTGTGTTAGGTAGTCTGTCTAGAGTTCGGAGGTCCCGGGATCGAGTCCCGGTCTGGCCGAGATGTATCTCTTGTGTTACACATATATACTACCAAACCATGTAGAAATCCGTAAAACATGGAATAATAACTCTGTATGATGACAAATGTTTAAATGAGATTGACCATAAAATGACAATTTATACCTTCAAATAACTGTAAATAAAAATAAATACAAAATGATAAAAGTAAAATTAGGCGAAAAAAATGGTTAATAATGAAAAGAATTTAAGCATTGATATTATCATAGAAAAAAAAAGGCTTATCAGTAATGATTACATAATACCTTGTGTAGCTGGGTGTTTTTTTAAATGATATTACATTAAGTATAGCGAATAGTTAATATTTCAATGGGTATATACGAAATTCTTCTTCTTGATAGACTGTTTTCATTTATGCCGCTAACGTATACGTCAAACACATGAGAATAATTAAACCTCTTTCTTACTACATACATTATAATCGGCAGTAGCAAAAATCAATTATTGGTGCTTTGTACATCAAACTAGGTTTTAAATGATGTACGAGAATATCAAATTTAGCATGCTGAAGTATTTTGCCTTTTGTTTTGCGAAGTCGTGAAGCAGGAGGTACAATCAGCATAAACTGACAGATTCAACGAGCCCACCATAAACAAATACAGTTCATATATTTCCAGTTACGCCTTTGATTGATGAGAACAAATACTAGAAGTACCGATAGGTTGCGGTCCATACTCATCTGGTTACGCTCATATATTTTGTATAGTACAATTTCTTTATTTTATTTCTGATAAGCGTGAACACAGTATTACACGTCAAATACGGCGAATGATTCATCCATAGGACATGCTAAGACACTATCACGTGACCGTCACGCAGAGAATAGCGCCAGATGTTGTCTGCTGCATTGACGTCACGTCTAACCCGATTTATTTGAGTGTCTGTAGGGATATTGCACAAATCTGGCGGGAAATCAAAAGTACTGTTTATTATAAGGAAGTTATTTCTTCGGTGACATCAGCACTAGTAAGTACATCGTTGTACAGTGATATCTAATCGTGTATCTAATGTACACATATTAGAAATATTTAGAGTAATTGGAACCCTATTCAGGCACCAACGTAATACCATCTGTGGAAAAGTGTGTTTGAGTGCTTGCCGTCGGCTAGGAGCACAGGGATCTCATTCTGATAATTTGTTAGCTATGTCTGGACCTAAATGTGTTCAGAGTAATTTTACATGTTTTAGGGCAAATATATAATCATTGGTGTGTCATTTTTACCGAAAGTCCATCTAAACCCCTAAAACATGTAAAATTACTCTGAACACAGTAACAAATTCTCAGTTCCCTGTGGCAAGGATAACAAGTCTGGTTTCCCAGTAAATTTCTCGTTTTTCTAGTATACCCCGCGTTATACGCAATGTCCACTGCTGGTTCCCCATTGTCACAACCCTGATATTTCCTAGCGTTATTCGTGTCGACCAACAAATCCACAACGCGTGTACGTGCCGCTGCGTGTAATAGCGTATGACTGACTAGATAGCTATGAATCGACATGCTTTATTACCCATAGTGCATTATGATACAGTACAAGGGCGATAAGTACAAGGGCGACAACTCTGTAAGCCATATACCATTATATAAAGTTCTAGACTGTTACAGTGCGAAAATAATGCCCTGTAGCTATATGGACTGTTAAAATTATTGTTTAAAAATATGTAATATATAAAGCATGAATGATTGATAATTATTGCTGCTGATTAGCATATGCATATCTGTAATAAGACAGGGATTGTTTGCGCTTGTACGGTATAATACACTTTGCTGTTTTTATTCGCCATAATTAACCATAGAGTTTAGATGAAAAACGCAGAAATATTTATTTAATATAACACTCAAATAATGCTATGAAAAGTCATTAGATTAGATAACCCCACGAATTTACGAATAGCTCTGACTATTCACTGTGGTTCTTGGAGCGTAACTGCCTTTGTTATGAATTGTAGATAGTGTTATACTTGTACACAAATACACCGTTGCCTCCACATTAACCTGTGTATGTACTGTATGTGGTCGCAAATGGTGATAAAATGTTAGTGCGGTTTACACAAATAAATTTGGCTGTTATTATCCATTATGATAAACCATAGATTTCCATAGCGACTACCAATAATCGATGTTATGTATTGCGTATTCGGAATCTAGGGTACAGTACTGGATCCCGATTTTATTATGCTAAAATTATTTTCAGTTATGTCAATGGCAAAGAATTTTTCAGGAATTCTGAAACGAAAAAGATACAGGGTAAGCTAGACAGAGTTATCTTTCTTTGTTTAGTAATGAAATTACAATGTATAAAGAATTGTTATAAATTAGATGTAGTCAAGGCGATGCCATATTGGGGTTTCCGATTACGATATGCATAAGCTCATCATCTTAATTTTATAGAGATATCCCATTTAGATTTGCTGATGCGAGACATATTTATTGTTGATATCTCCTAAATCAATAGTGATCTCTCGATTAGGTTATGCGGTATCTTCTTGTGATCTGGGGCTGTTTCCAGGCGTATAATCCCTCAATTATCCTGAATTATCAATTAAAAACAAAAGTACACACTTTTATAGCAGTTATAATCAGTGCTAAAAATAAATTAAATCGGGGTCAAGATACGCCGCCCCATCCTTTTAAATCTACTAGAATCATTAATGAAAAATACATAACAAAAATATTTTTGAATTCATCTGATGATATATTTAACTATTTAAGTTTGTATCAGGATGTGGGAAAATTTCCGGTTTACTTATGAACTTTTCCCTTTATCTATCGTTTCAACTAAAAGATGAAAGTACAAATTAGAGGAGGTCAGTTAGATCTGTTCAGTCACAGGGGCACGGTTCAATTAATCAATTTATATCTGAGGTCTCCTTGTTTACTCTACATATTTCAGATATGAATTGATAAATTGAACCGTGACCCTGTGGTTCAATATATGGTTCTACGGTATGAAAATGTTTGGTAGTAGAATGCATGCAAAAATCTTGTCTGTCGCTCTTTTGGTTTTCAGGATGCCAGTTTTGTTGGACAGAACAGTGTGTTGTTTTGTTCAGTTTATAACCACGGAGAGGCGTGCTTCTCTTCGTCTGTTCGAAGGACTGTTAATCTATCACTTTTCTGGTAGTTTAATACAGTTAAAGAGGCTAGCAAAGGAAAACGTAACGTAATTTAAAAGGTAAATATAAGATTGGGAAACTGAAATATAAACTCATCATATATAATTTACATACAAATAAATACTGTATATTACCCATTTAGCTCAGCGAATCACAAGAATATTGCGAAAAATACAAGTGAATATTTACATTCTGTATGCTTAGACCCATTGACAAAAATTACATTCATAAATGCATAACACAGGTGTTCATAGAATCTCAGCACGTGGGAACTGATAGTAACCTGATCACACTGCGTAGTAATACACTACAAAAACTACTCACTCGGAACGACCGACCTAGATGCTTAATTCTTACATCTTAAAATATTATTGAACTGTGCTTTGTGAAATATCCACGTATTCACGTGTCCTGTGCTACAAATAAACATTGAATATGGAACTACATTTTGTTGTGTTATTGTTGTTGACGGTTGCTAAGATCTCTCACGATAGTGTCACATTTCCCCGCGAAAAAACACTGTTCTCGCCACTGCGTTGCACCCGTGTATAAGCAGGAACAAACCCTGTTTATTTGTTTTATTCGTTGTTATATCGATCCACTGAAAGGATTCGTCAATGTAAATATAAGGAATGATATTTATTTTTTCAACATTTATGAGGTCATAACAACAATGGGTTTTTGGACATATTTTACATGAATCGCTAACGCGATTCATTCAATATGTCCATAAACCCATTGTTGTTATGACCTCATAAATGTTGAAAAAATAAAAATCATTCCTTAAATAACAGAAGCTATATATATGTACCATTCAGGAGATTTGTTTCCTGTTTCCGTTTTCTTCTATTATAGTGTACGCTCAAAGCGTTTGTATGATTCAGAAAAAAATATGGCTTCCTTCCAACCAGGAACCGCCGTTGCTCCATCTTCACAAGTGGAAATCAGCGTTGCTTGCAAGTATGTATATTTGTTTATTATATTTATTGCTAAATGATACTTCATAAATAACGTACATAGCGTTTATGACCATAAATCGGGGTCCAAACGTAACGTCTTTTAAGGTGGCTGGTTGGGATATGTCATATGATGGTTATTGACAGCGGTCACCCTAATGAGTGTCCTCCGAGTAATGAGTGTCCTCGGAGTGTCCTCGGAGGTTTTTGCGCCCCCGCGAATTCGTTATAAGATTTATTTCACTTTTTTCTTCTGATTTCTAAATATTGTTCATTTATCTAGGTGTGTGCAAAATTTAAGGTCGATCGTAACAGTACAAAGTACCGAAATACGTCGATAAAAATGCATATTTGGGAAGAATGAGTGTCCTCGGAGGACAGAATGTCTTATCATAGATCATTAGATGTAACTTAAAGAATTATGAGGTTTTTCACTTTGTAGAGGTTTGTGTTGATAATGAAAAGTATCCATGATATATTTTTTTTATACAAAACAGGGATTATATTTCCCATTTCCATTCTCATATTTATATAAGCATTACTATAAACTAACGTAATCAGGGGAATACCCTTTACAAAAATATAACCACGGTAGCAGGAATTGTTAAAATAATAAAAATCGCTTTTACACTAATGTATTAACATCATCATCAAGTGACGTCAAATTATCAAAATAGGTATAATGCCATTTTTTTAAATATTAAAAGTAATCTACTTTCTGACAGGTATTGTGCTTGAAGAACCCACATTGGACATAGTTTATGCTCTCGTGCCTAGAGAAAGGGCATACATACAAGCAGATAACTCCAAACTAGAGGCCAGTTTGGGTTCATATTATATAAATCTTGTCATATTAAATTTGAAACCCAATTAAAATGGCAGTTGAGAGATACTGATAATTCACACATCCTTGATTTTCAATGAATTCCTTAAAAATAGTTGTGATCCACACTCTAAGAGAGGAATACAATCATATAACAGGATTGGCAAGGGATCAAGCTCGACCCATTGGAGCTTCATCCATGGGTCAATATAACTTGGAAACAGTTGAAATCCCCACCCTATCACCATAAAAGCTTGAAAAGTATTTGGATTGGGATTTTACATCAACCATGGATCAAAGCATGTAAACAGCTGATCATGAGATTCACGCTTTATTATAATTACCACATACATGTATTTGATTTCTAGGCATGAAAAGCTAAGACACTCATGCTACTGGTCTGTTTCTTTTTCTTGAATCAAACAACTCTTGTCCGACCGTGTAATAATCAAATCAGAAGTGACCATTGTGATCATGTACATTCTGTATATAATATTATTGATATAAACGTTTAATATTTTACAGATGATTTGTAACCATTTTTTTTCCAGAAACCTGAGGGACAAAGATGCCTTCTCAAAATCAGATCCAATTGTCGTTCTTTCCACGAAAGATGTCCGAACAAGTTCATATTATGAGGTAAGATAAAATTCTGCAATGTAGTTGCATAAATGAAATTTACCACGGATGAAAAATTCACCTCGCAGATTATAAGAACGCAACATATTTCGATGAAAGGCTGACATTATATTTACTGAAGTGTAGCTATATATTTAGTAGGACGAGGAATAGTGATAAAGATGGTGCAGTCGCTGGGGCTCGAACCCGCATCCCTTGGCTCTCCAGTCCGATGCTCTACTGCTAAGCTAAAGGGAAATTATTTTTTACACTATTCCCCCCTATTTTCAAACACCAACCCAGGTTCTTGGGCTCCCTTCAAGGATTCTCCTACCTTGATCGGGGAGGGTCAACAGCACCGGTTTGTAATAGGACGAGGAATAGTGATAAGGTAGTGCCGTTGCTTGGGATCGAACCCGCGACCCTTGGCTCTCCAGCCCGATACTCTACTGCTGAGCTAAAGGGAAATTCCCTACAGCTGACGCTTGTAAGGCAACCTAATCAATGCACATCTTTTACAGAGCAAAAAAGTAATCAAAATGCTTCAATTATTTTTCAGTTTGGAAGAAGTGAAATGGTGAAGAATTGCCTTAATCCACAATTCGTGAAGAAGTTCACTATGAACTATTTCTTTGAAGAAAGTCAAAAGCTGAAATTTGAAGTGTATGTATGAGTTATTTCTGGTCTTATTTTCTGGTTCTTTTTGGTGCCATATTAATTAAACCATTATGTCTGTAAAAGCAAAAAATGGGTTTTTGAAAATTATGTGCTAATGTCTAACAAACTTAATTCAGATTGACAAAAACGTAAGGATGCTAAGAGTTGATGAGAAATGTTTTATATATAGAAATTTATGACAGTAGTAGGCTTCAGATTAAAAAAAAAGATGACCGAAAATTCAAGCTTATCCAAGGATTTGGGTCATTCAAAGAATTGGTATTTCAAAAATAATTTTGTAAACATTTATTGATACATCTGTGTAGTGTATCTAATAAACTGTGTACTTAAATTATTTCAATGATTGTATGTGATATACTGTACAATAAATCACACTGTAGAGTACATACTGTATATTTAATCACATTGAATGTAATACAGTGTGTAGTTATTGATGTATACAATCATGAATGTATAATATAATATGTATTCAATGATAACGTATATTATATAATTTGTGTTCAATAATATTTCAGCTATGATGTTGATTCCCCGAGTCAGAGATTAGATGCACATGTAAGTGTTTATCATCAATGAAAGTAAAGCATGCCTATCGTAATTGTCACTTTAACAAATTCACCCCTGAAATTTCATAATGCCCTTTTCCAACCTTTGAATTGGAAGAGTTCAAATGTGTCTTCAGGGGTGAGTGAGTTAATATCACTTTTAAACTATCTAAAAAAAAGCACTATTTACTGTGAAATTTAACATGTAAAGGATTGGTTCAGTGTGAAACTATTCTAATTGAACCTGTTGATTTTTCTTTTTTTTTAACATGACATGTAGGACTTCCTTGGTAGACTTGAATGCACACTGGGAGAAATTGTCAGTGCCCTTGGTGGTAAACTAGAGAAGCCAATGGTGTAAGTATCGGACTGATTTGATAGTTGTGCATTTAAACATGATTTTTACGCAAAACACTTAATTGTTTTCTAACAACAAGTCAAAAACTACAGTAAATCCGTCTGGAAAGCAGGTTAATCCAAATGTAATTCACAACATTCCACTATTTTTATAAGGTGACAATTATTATTCTTGCATACTAGACTGTGATTTCCGGCGGTGTTGGAAAACTCTATTCGACCCACGGGTCTGGATCGCTTACATGCGCAGGCCGGCAGGGAATTATAATAGTCTTACGGGGTCACGCTACTGTTCGTGACGTCATTTTATGATGTTTTGGGGTCAGTCAGGGTCATTGACGTCATTAACAATTGCCATCAAGGCTTCATATGCAAATGAGAATTGTGTGGACAGTTTACAGGTTTACTAGAAGATCAGCTGTTTTTCAGGTTTATGTTATAAGCAAGAAATAGAATCCATCCCTGATGAATGGTATGGATTAATAAAATCTATTAACCTGTAACTGAGCGAGATCAGGTTATCTCAGTCGAGGGTTAAGATTCTGTAACAAATCCTAATCGAGGCGTAAGCTGAGGTTGGGATGTTACAAAATCTTAGCCCGAGACTGAGATATCCTGATCTTGCTCAGTTACAGGTAATAGAATTTTTTCTCGCACCTTTCAATTCGAAAAAAAATAATCAATTTTTCTAAAAACTACAAATATCCCACCTTGGGCCTCAAGTGATGATGACCTCTTCACTACTTAAGCTACATTTGTATGCTTCCACGTAAAAACGTAGTCCGTCCTTACATAGATTACAACGTATTTCACAGTGTTGATTATATTTTATCTACAACATCAAATATCTTGCAACGTCGAAACCATACATATAACGACAAAACAGAACATTGATAATGCAAATTGTCTATTTCAAGCACTTAACATGCAGATAAATACATCGCAGTGTAAAAAGGTCACGAAATGTCACGTAAAGGTACAAGACAGATTGGACAAGATAGAAAAGTCAAGCATGGGGTATGACGTGGGATATCTCTGTCTGAGGTGTGAGAAAAGGTAATTCTAACCCATGAGATAAAATATTGAGCAAAAGACCTTCGGCAAAGCCTTGGGTCTCCTGCTCAATATTTTATCCCTTGGGTTTGAATTACCTTATCCATACCTCATATCAGGGATGGATTCTATTATTATTTTCTTCTAATTGAACATAATAATGTTGAAATAGCTGTGCAGTGACATACCAGCCTTTATGATTGAAGACTTGGCTGTAAAACAGTTGATAAAAACCCATTGTTGAATATTTTTGTTGTCTTATTAGTTTCTTTGTACTTTTTCAAGATCACTACATCGTGCGTTTTTAACATTCATGTACTCAAAAAAAAATCGCTATTTCATTTTAGAGGTTTGAAAGGAACACCAGGACAGATCATAAGTAAGTGATGATTCCCTTAGGA